ACTCTGCACCAGCAACTTTTATTATCTGAAACCTCAACATACGTGTGGTATTGTGAAGTTTAAAAATGTAGTAATAAATATTATCACCTGAATCATCTCCGTGACTTTCTAGCGTCTTTCGCAGATTTAAGTTTCTCCACAGCTGACAGCTGTATGCAATGCGTGGCCAACTTCAGTCAGCGGACAAAGTCGGTTAAAAGTGCGGGGGCTCAGCTAAAGGAGCGGGTGCTAGAAGAACAAGAGTATGAACCACTGCTGGATTCGAATTTCAACTCTATTTTAATAATAGAACAACCAAATCAACATTGTATTTTAGAACACAGAGACGCCAGCTGATTCCCTCTCAACTCCCAGGACCCAGGGAGGTCACCTGGTAGAGGTAACTAAATTCTTAAAACAGTTTGTTTGCATAATCACAATTTATAGAATTCATAAAATAATCTCATCATTTTCAGGATTCTTTATTTTTTGTCAAATTCAGTTTCAAACACTTTTTCAAAAATTTTAAGGTGATTTTCGAGGATTTCCCAACTCCTTTAATTAGTGACAGCTGCCACTTAAAGTTCACCAGGTGTGTGTGTGTGTGTGTGTGTGTGTGTGTGTGTGTGTGTGTGTGTGTGTGTGTGTGTGTGTGTGTGTGTGTGTGTGTGTGTGTGTGTGTGTTGGTGGGTAAGGGTGTGTTTGCTCTGTCTTTTCCCAGTGAGTCGTGGAGGATGGCTGCTTATACTGAGCCAGGATCCTCTGGAGGTTTCATCCTGTTAAAAGGGAGTTTTCCTCTCCACTGTCGCTGCATGCTTGCTTAGTATGAGGATTGCTGTAAAGACTCTGACACTAGTCAGTGACTCGATGCAATTTGCTGACGACTCCTTATATAGAAAACATTTTACTGATTAGCTTAATGAACTGAATTGTACTGGAACGCTTACTTTGTGAAGTGCCTTGAGACGACTCTTGTCGTGATTTGGTGCTATTTAAATAAATAGAATTGAAATTGCAGCAGTTTCTGTGTTAACTTAAAGTTCACCAGGTGTGTGTGTGTGTGTGTGTGTGTGTGTGTGTGTGTGTGTGTGTGTGTGTGTGTGTATGCACGCGCGAGTGTGCACACACTTGTTAAAGACTCATTTTTCCAACTGAGGCCCTCAGAGAGTGCACGTGAGTATAGGAGTGGGTTGAGTGGAGCGGAGTGCCATCAATCACTGACTCGGTGCCGCTCTGTCTGTTCACCAGGTCACGCCTTCTTTAGGCGCATTTTTCTAACAGGAGGTGTGGGTGAAATAAGTCTCCACCCATGGTGTGACTCACCCTTTAAACTACCACATGACAATTCAAGCACTTTCAATGATTTCAAGCACCCTCAAGTCATGATTTTGCTTATAAAACAGCCACCTAAAGTATTAAACTTCCTTTTGCAAAAGTAAAAAGAAAGACTTCATTGGTAATGTTTGGTGCTATTACCTAACACAATATTACATTTTAGATTAGTTGATTAGCTCTACACACCCTTAGAATAATTTTTAAAGCTGAAGCGAGAGAAAGAAACCTAGTAAAACAATTAAAAACAAATAGAAAATCCTTTATCTAAAATATTTCTGAATTGCTGACAATGGGATGTTAAGCACATCCTTGCACAGGGAGGATCACTTGACAACTTTGGTGTAACTTTTGTGTCTTTCTTGGGAGAAACAGGTGCTCTACGTACACCGTATCATCAAAAATAATTGGTTGATAAATCATCTGTCGGGGGAACAAGGCTGTATGGTATTGACAGGAAAGATAAGTGCCTCGTGTCGGTTGAGCATGGAGCTGTACCGTGTGAAGCAGCCAAATGGCATAATGAGAGCCACACAGTGACAGTGAGATCTGTAGCCATGGCGACAGCCACTTGCTAGGCAAGCAGCAGAGCCTGGTGATTACACCCCCCACCCCCCACCCACCCACCCCCTCCCCATGCTTATATTTCATTTGTAATGATGCTCCTCTCCTATAACAAAAAATATGATGTTAACTCATGAGGAGAGTGGAAAGTTCCAGTGGCTCTTAAGCTTTCTGTACCATAGAGGCGAACAGTAAATCATCGCTGCTCCATCAGCACCGCAGCTCCTAACCAGCTCTGGCAGCCATGAGGCATTAGACGCATTCTGGGCTGTTATGGAGCCTACATAGGAACAGATGACACCATATTGCAGGCTGTAAAAAATTGAACATGCTTCTTCATTTACATCTCTAACAAAGTCAGCAAGAGGTCACAGCTCTGGAGTCGTTTTATTTTTTTGTCCTTTGGCTTGAAAAAAAAGAGTTAGATTCAGTCCAGTTTGTTAAATTTAGAACATCAGAAATGTTCAAGCATGTTGCAGCCATGGGAGCAAGCAAATACTTGATGCCACATGAGATGTTTGCATTTAGGGGATGCCTCATTAACAGCAGTGGACTCAATAAGTACAACAAACATGGTAAAATCTCTATGTTAATGATATTAAACAATAAGTAGCTAAAACACAGAGAAACATGCAGAAAAAAAATACATTATCTAAAATGTACTCGTGAAAAATCTGGTGCACAATTAAAACTACTAGAATAAAAAAAAACTACTTTTCTATACGCAGGCTTATGCATCCTTATTGATGAAAA